GCTCTTTCTCCGTAACTCCTTCAATCTATCACATTAAGTGAGGGTGCTAGCACCACTCTTCACTTGTTGTCTACTCATTCTCTCATCCAATTCAATCCTTGGTGAAGAGCTTTAGGGAGGCTCATATCTTTGTACCTATTTGGAGAGCTACAAGGTGGAGAATCAACATCAAAGGGAGAGCCAACAACAAAGGGACCGCTCCCTCTACTTGAACACCATTCTTGGTTTCAAGATTCGCTCCAAGGGTATGAACATCTTATCTTTCTCTCAAATAGGATTTAGAGAGTCTTTGGTGCACACTTTCATAGACTTATAAAGATTGGGACCAAATGAGACTTGCATGAATCCCTAGTTTAGTTTATTTAATGCTTTCGCTCTTACTTTGATTTCATATTAGATATGGCATGCTAGGTGATTTATACTCTCAAAGTTTGGTTGTAGAGTTTTTTGAAATCTCTACACAACACCATTCCCACAATATTCCCTTCAGGTATTTACCCAAATTGGGCAATACTTGTCCAAGCAATTCCATAACCTGTGAATGACAAGATAAGTATTTTTTTGAGAAGCAAGAGGCGTACTGGAAGGACGTTGAAAGGGAATTTGGTATTCCACAAGCAAGATGGTTAACCATTAGAGCACTGACAAGGAGGTGAAGTCTAGAAGAACTTAACTTCATCATGATATCATGCATTACATTGCACAACATGATTGTGGAGGATGAACGGGATGACTACATTGGTGGAGATTCTGACGATGATGAGGTTGACCCAAATAGATCAAGGAGAGCTCTTGCTAGAATATATGACGTGCCTAATTTGCCTCGGGATCCAAGAATTGGTAGGATCCCCATAAAGGAATACATGAGTCGTCATAGGTTGATATGCTCTCATACCGCAAACAACAACCTACAAGAGGGTCTTGTTGCACATCTTTGGGCCAAACAAGCACTAGAATGATGAGTTGCCTTGTGACATTAGCTAGGTTTTTCGTGTTTGCAACTAATAATAATTGACAATACATTGTCATGTTCAAGTCTTCGTCTTGTTTTAGAAACAACTTTGGTGTTTGCAACTAATAATAATTGACAATACATTGTCATGTTCAAGTTTTTGTCTTGTTTTAAAAACAACTTTTAAATTAATTTAAATTGAAAAAGATAAAGGATAGTTTGTAAAAGAATGAAGAGAATGTGAGAAATTATGTAAAAGAACGAAATTGAGGAATGATAATATGTAAAATAATTAAATGTTGTGAGAAATTATGTAAGAATAAGGTAGGTATTTATACCCAAAAAAAATAGGAATTTTTTAGAATTTTTTTATTTATAAAATAAATAATAATAAAAACTCAGTGACGTCAGCTGGGCCCATCCAATTATTTAGCCCGGGCTGGCCAAAGGGCCACGTGTGGCCTGATTTTTAGGAATTGACCCTTTTTATAGCCCTTCCTTTTTTGTAATCCTTTGTATAACCCACTCAAGGAGATGAATTTTGAAAATTTTGGCTATATCCTCAAATATAGCCCTCACTTGAGATGACCTTAGATTGCTCTTCCACTCTTTCCACGGATAAGATGGTAACTTGGCATCAAACATATTGTCCCATATTTATAGTGTACATGTACAAAAGAAGATACTTAGCCACCATTTCCTAACACTTGTCACTATCCCAACCAACTGCATGCTTTGGTCCTTCCATTGTGTTTCTATTGACTTACCCATATGGTCATAAGTTAACTTATATGAAATGCAGGATTCCTACTTAACAAACATTTTGAGGTTGAAGCTCTTCATCCACATAATCAGTGGCGGATCCACCATGGGGTAAATAGGGTCAAACGACCCCATGGCAGCCCTGGATATGGCTTGGGGGTCCTTGGTTTCTCTTGGCAGCTATGGGAGACGACCCCATGGAGAAGAAGATGCAAGCTACTAGGGAGAAGAAATAGGGAGGAAGAAGAAGACAGTGGTTGAGAGGGAGAAGAAAATAGAGAGAGGGAGAGGAAGAAGAAGAAGACTAAGAGGGAGAAGAAAGAAGCGCTGACACAAATTAAAAAAAGGAAAGATATTTGTTAGGGTTTTTAAAATATTTTTTTAATTAAGTTGGGTAGACCTATAAATACTAAAAATATACATTAATAGCATAAACATGTAATTTACCATAGTGGTCTTTGAATTGAAAAGGACCTTAAGGTCAACGGTTCAACACTAATTGTGCTCCCTTTTTCTTTTTTCTTTTTTTATATTATAATATTCGAGGTATTTTATTATTTGGGTTATTTTTGGGTGAGTTTATTTATTATTTGAGTTGGTGTTATTATTTTGATGAAATTTATGGTTTACATAATACATATATGAGCTTGATTTATTGAATGATGTTTTTGTTAATTGAAATAAGTTTGGTGTGTTTTTTATTTTTTATTTTTTGCATTATTTCATCTTAAAAAGAAAATCGAAACTTTAACACTATGACCCCATAGAGTAACAATCCTGGATCAACCACTACACATGATTGCTTATCCTTTTTCAGCATTGTGCTACTCTGAGCCATGCAATTAACTAATGGGTCGCACATGGACCACGTAGCAATGCAAGACTAGCAGTTGACTGAAGAAAAGTTCACCTATTATTACAGATATTTACTCACATTTCATGTAAGTTTTTACCGTGTCACATATCCATACTAAAAATTGAGCGCTATATATAGTTTGATCACATTACATGTTCAAACAATGTACAATTATGCAAAGCGATACTAAAACCTAAGATATGTAGTTTGATTACGTAACATGTTCAAACAACTTAACTTAACATTACAATTTATACTCTAGTCCTAACCAAATACAACTCCAAAATGATCATTGCGTTGCAAGCATCCAAAGTCAAGTATATCGGCTCTTTACTTATGTCGTGTGGTTGGTTTTGTCGGATTACTTTTGGAATGTCTCTACACGAGCAACCATAACATGGCTAATCTTGCTGGGCTTAATGTTGGCCCATACAAGTATCAAGCATCGTTTTCCTATATGGTCCAGTAATATTGGGAGCTTGTGATGATTTGATAGGCCAATGGTTCACTCGTGACCGTTTGAGGCTTTATATGATATTTGATAGGAATATCCTAAAAAATATTGTGTCACGTATTTTCTAGTAAGAATTTATAAAAAAATAAAAAGGGGGTGTCACGTCTCTGTTCTGGAACCGCTCTAGCATCTATGGAAAGATTAAAAGGCACTCTTCCAAAAAAACTTCATTGATATGAAGCAATTAGCGAAGATGAAATGGCTATTTTAAATTTCACGTCCCTTAGTAATTTGATTTGAGTTGTTTTGGAACCCCCTCCTCAGTAAACACCAAGTTGCATGAAACATGAATATCATATGTATGGATTAAACGTTGGAGTGTACCCTTTTATGAGCCAAAATTGAACAAATTTGAGAAAGTACATCGAATACACATGTGAATAATGTAGGGCTTTGTGACCCAAAGTGGACAATCTTTTGTTAAATGGTCATCAAAACTTCATAAATAAGTGATCAATTAACTACTTGTTTTCCTTTTCTTTGCTACATTGGTAATGTCAATGTGTAACACTAATTGTAAAAGCATGTGTAAATTTTTTGTTTGTTTGGGAGAAGATGAGTCAAGACTCAAGTGTATACGTTCCTTGTAAACAAGGTGGTTAAGTCTTTTTATTTTATTTTTAAAAAATTTAGAGAAGGTGGTTACGTTTATATTGTCAGATGATTGTCATTTTGTTTTCGAGGAGAAGATAAATTAAGAATACATATTCTTTGTAGACGAGATAATTAAGTTAACTTTCATAGATAATTGTTAATCGTTGTTGTATATGACATTCACAATAAAACAATTGCTTACGCATATATAGGTGACCAACTCTTCTAAGAGTTTTTATTTTATTATATATATATATCATATACTTCCAAATGAAAAACCTAATTTCAAAGTTAACAAATGTGAGATTCCATCTCCTTGTTTAATAATTGTTCACAAACACCAAAATGGAAAAAAAAAAATATGAAAAAAAGAAATTGTTGGTTATGATGATAATAATGGTTATAGAAAGATAGCAACTACCAACTCAAATAAATATAATGGACTTAATTGTCTAATCCAAGTCATTTCCCCTTGAGATCTTTTGGTAGGTTGGGGGGTTAATTCTTGATCTTCCTTGAAGGATATGCAATTACCAACAAAGTCTCTTGAGGTAGGTCCAATAATGTGATATGATTATGATATAACTTGTAGGACCATATCACTACATCTTTAATCTTAACCACAATAGCTTCTAATTAGATAAACCAATTCTCAAAGTCCTTCAAAAAGGTTTCTCAAAACTGAAGGCACAAACAATTATGGGTAAAAGCAAAACACATTAACAATTGAACATAAAGATTAGCAAAAAGAGTGGGTTTTGCCAACAAAAAAAAAAACCATGACTTGAAGAGATGATGTCCAATGCAAAGTAAATCATGTCATTTGCATTAGTTTCTAGTTGTTTGGTGTGTTGTGAATGCCATATAGTTGTTTTATGGCTTTTGGTCCACTCACATGCCCTGAACATTGATAGGGCCCTACACCAAAGGTGAAAAGTGCCCTTCTGCTTGTAATTTGTTCATCAGTCCCTGACACACCACCATGAATGGAATGAGCACCCATTGGCCACACCACTCTCCTCTTCTTGAGTAAAAAAAACACCAAAAAGAAGTAGAGGGGAAGAAGAAGAAGCAAGCAACCCATTTACCCAAGACCCCAAATGACCCAATGTCTCTCTGGCCTCTGCTTCCATTTCCATAAACAAATATTTTAAAAAATAGAGAAAAGCTCGGATCTTTAACTGCGCCATTGCAGTTGCACCACAACAGATCTAAAAGCTCGAATCTTTCTCTCACATATGACGTAAAGGTGAAAAAAAATATAACGACAAGGAAGAAAGAGAAGCTCTCGATGACTTACTGTCTCCCTTTGCATCTACTACACTCTCTCTCCGCAGCATTAGATCTCACTCTCTCTCACTCTGTCAGTGCAGACAATTCGTTCACTTTGCTGAAGAAACAGAGGGAGATGGTGCCTCTCGCATTCAGGCTCTAGTCTAGACACAGAGGAATTTGGGGACGATGATGAACAGGAATGCGAGGGAATCTCTGGTCGGAGGGAGGAATATTCCGTTCGGGTCGCAGCACCGGCGAGGTCTGAGCTTGAATTTGACTAAAGACTCCGACGAGGGCAACTTGGATCTCTTCTCGAAGAATCGCCGGACTCTCTCTGTAACTTCCTCCGACGAGTCTTCCGATGGTACATTTCTCTTCCTAGTCTCTCTCTATTTTTTTCACAGACAGAAATGTCCTTGAGATGTTTCCGTGGCTTTGTTTGATTCGGAGGGCAATTCGGTCATTTGATTGAATAATAACGGCCTGAGCGGAGAATGAGTCAACGAGATTTGTCGGCATCTTGTCCCAGAGGATTTAGATGCTCGATTTTGTTCACGACTAACCGCCAAATGGCGCCGTTTGATGGGTTAAACGGAAGATTTGTTCATGATAATTCAGTGGATTTGTTAAGATGTGATTTTGGGATTAATCTAATTACAATTTTACAATGATTTGATTGTGATTTAGTTTCGGTGAAATTGGGGAGGCTTTCAGTTGGATCGGCCAAAGTGGGAAGGACTGGTATTGATGATCTGCTGTCATCTGCAGAGGGTGGAAAGCACGATTATGACTGGTAAAATATGTTTCATAATCATCTCTTCCACTGGATCATGACCCAGAAAACATTTTTGTGAGATTTGTTTATGCATGGGATGATTTTAATTAATTTTACTTCACATCCCTTTTCCTTTTGTGGTAATTTTCATGTTGGATTCAGAATAATTCCTTGCTTTGATTTGCTGATATAGAATCAGCAACTGAGATGTTCTTTTGGTGACTCTTAATTAACACTAAAGACAGAGAGATCATATCTGAATGTACTGTTTTGATTAGGACAAGGCAAAGAAAGCATCACTCTACAATCAAACATTAAGTTAATCAAATCTTGTGGAATTTTATGTCCATCTTGTAACTTCAGAATTACAAGGCAAAGAAAGCATCACTCATTTTTTATTTTTTTTTGAGTCTCCTGAAGCATTTGACTTCGAGACAGACTACTACCAACATCCTCTTGTTTTGACAAATAGGTTGCATGAAAAGTTCCTCTGCTTAATGTAAACTTAAAGTTAACAAATGGGTTTGCATTAGCCTGAACTCAAAGTCAACAAGGTCTTGCGTAAATAGTTCATGCTTGAATTGTTAGATTGAATAGTTCATCTTTAGGGTTATTGTTTGTTTTAATGGTTACATTATTACTTCATGAAATTAGATTAGTAAGATTACATGAAATTACTTCTGTCTGATTTTTATCACCTTTCTGTGTCATCAGGCTTCTCACTCCTCCTGAAACTCCACTTTTTCCTTCATCAGATGGAAGTGAATCTCAACCAACCTTAGCTGCTTCACGAACCAGTTTAAGCAGATCAGGTTCTACAGCTAAGCCTTCAAGGGTATGTCTTTCCCAGTTGACCTTATCATGTTCAGTATGAATTTCGGTTTAGAAATTAGATAGCCTCCTCCAGATTAGCAAAGAAACTCTTCAGAAAGTATGCTTCATTGTTTTCTTAATTTCTATTTTTGTTTCAGCTTTCAGTTTCACAATCTGAGAGTAACCATCCATCAAGACCTGCTAGAAGCAGTTCAGTGACTCGCTCTTCAACTTCTACATCACTATATAACAACTATTCCTCAAACAGAAACCCCAATATCCTTAACACGAGCTCAGCTTCAGTCTCATCTTACACTAGACCATCCTCCCCCATTACCCGCTCTCCATCTACAGCAAGGCCTTCCACTCCAACCTCTCGTCCATCACTGTCACGATCCACAACTCCTTCTAGACCCCGTACAACTTCAACCAGCTCTTCCATCGAGAAACCTCGATCAGTGCAAAGCTCGAGGCCCTCAACTCCTAGTAGTACCAGGCCACAAATTCCTGCAAACTTGAATTCACTTGCTTCTCGACCAAACTCTCGTCCATCTACTCCCACACGTCGGAGTTCATTGCCTTCCTTGTCTCCAGCATCAAGTCCCTCACCTTCAGCAGGTCGTGTTCTATCAAATGGGCGCAGTTCAGCACCCTCATCCAGACCAAGCTCCCCTAGTCCACGTATCCGCCCCCCACCACAGCCAGTTGTTCCCCCTGATTTTCCTCTTGACCCACCGCCAAACCTTAGAACAACTTTACCAGACAGGCCAATTTCTGCTGGAAGGTCCCGGCCTGGTGCTGTTGTCTCAATGAAGGGGAAGCCAGAACCCCCCGTTGCCTTGGTTGTGCCAAGAAGACAGTCATCACCCATTGCCTCAAGGGGAAGACTGACAGAGCCCCCTGGAAGGGGCCGTGTACATCCCACTGGACACCTTCCTGATGTTCCTGAGCCTCGGAAGGCTACACTTATCCCTGATCTGGGCATGAGGAAGCCTGTGAAGACTTCCACAACAACAGCTACAGACAGCACTGGGTTTGGGAGGAACATCTCGAAGAAATCTCTCGATATGGCTATCCGACATATGGTATATAAACCCTTTCCTTGAAATCATATGAATGAACTGTGAGGTTGTGAAAAACATGGATCATTTAACTCGATGAATTTTTAGAAGTCACCAACTTAAAATTATTCTTAGCATTGTCTTTCTCTGACCAGCATCAAATTATATTCATACTAGAAGAGTAATTTGTCTAGTCTGTTACTTCCAATTCAATAGCAAGAGATTCAATAATGTTATTTCTTAGAAACTTTACTTTCTCTTGAGCAAATTAATTGATTCTAATAATTGATCTACTATCTGATGTAGGATATAAGAAATGGAACAGGGAATGGTCGCCAACTTTCAGGCAGCACCCTCTTCCCTCAGAGCATCCGATCATCATCCACTCCCAAGCCCCAGTCCGTTCGCGGGTTAAGTGTGCCAGCATCTGCCCGCACTAACGGAAGCCTGCAAACAGGCAGTAATGGAGTCATTTCAGAGAATGGAAACATTATGAACCGGCCTGTGGAAAATGGAAGTGAAGCAGACAGTGGAAGATACTCTGCAAAGCTGAGTGAAGTGGACGTCTATGAAAGCTCTCGTTATGATGCGATATTGCTCAAAGAAGACTTGAAGAGCACAAACTGGCTGCACAGTTTGGATGATAAACTTGATCAAGGACCCATCTTTGATACTGGATTTGAGCATCTGCCTGAACCTTTCGGGCTCTTATAACACCCGAGTAAGCGTGTGTAATTTTTTTCTTTCTTCTTCTTTTAAGTTATATGGTTTCTTAATATGGATGAATCACTTAAAACAGAAGAATGAAGAGCCAGTACTTGCCTGTGAAATCATTGCATTTATTCTTGTTGATGGATGTCCTATATTTGCAAATAGCAGCACAAATTGGTTGCTCAAAGTTTTGAAGTACAAGAAAACTCACAATTCAGATTATGGGTTTGCCTAGAAGCCCAAAGCTGACAATTCACAATTGTGGATGATATGATTTTTCTGGGCCAAAACTTTTTCAAAGATTCCATTTTTCTTAAAATAAAAGAATACTGGACCGACCCATCTGATCCAATGATGGTTTAAGCAGTCTATTCAAGTAGCCCAACAAGGAAAGCCCGACCCATATTCTTTATTTTCTTTGGTTTTGTTTTTTTCGATTTTTATTTATTTATTTGTTATTGTAACGGTAATCAGATCATTGCTTTGCTGTTTTCAATCAACCTAAGCAACCGTTAGTTTGGATTTGACAAAACTAAGTTATTAAAGATCATCAAAAGTCAATGTAGCATGTTAGCACAACGTTAAACAAACTTCATATCAAATAAGAGGCTTGAACCAAACACTCAAGGAGGACCACTCAACACCACGCATTAAAGAAAGAAGGGGACCTCTTTGCTTTCTTCAGCATTTTATAAGTAAATATGAAAGCAACTCCTGGTTTTGGATGTTACCCATATATATATTCATATACAAAATACAACCACATCAGGAAATAAAGGCCTAGACCAAGGACTTTTCTTTGTGTGTGTGTTTTGGTTTTCTTGAAAGAAAATTCAAGACCCGACTATAAATGCATCATGCATGTGAATTCTCAAAAATTCAAGATCCGACTATAAATGCATCGTGAAAGTCCAAGTTTGCAAGAGGTTTGTAACTCAAATGATTAAGAATATTTACCTATGCATCCAAGGTCATGTGTTCGATTCCCAATCCCTTTTTCATGGCTTGTATATGTCGAAAGAAATTTTTTTAAAAAGTTCATAAGGTTTTGCCATGGAGAAGTAGCTAGCTTGAGATCGTCACGTCTCTGCCATTTCCAAGCACATTTTGTCAATTTGTAATTAAATATCATGCATCGCATTGATTCAATTTATATTTATATATGCATGGCTCCCACAGCTGTATGGATCATGACATTTTCTGAAACAAGAAATTAAAAATGGTTTATTCAAAGTATGATTTAGGTTGGTGGGTTTATGAGTTAGCTTATGACCCCAAATTAAATAATTTTTGTGATGTTTGGTGAGCCTAATAAAATCATATACAACCAACCACCACCTTAACCAAACCCTAATTATTATATTTGTAGTACTAATTGCACTTGATTAGTCAATGCTTTCACGGAGTCTAATCTTTCCCATTCTTTTTTTTTTTCCTTCCAACAATTGCATAAAACAGACGTAATGGACACACATGGCCTTTGGCTAAAGCCGCTGACCAAATTTTCATTGCTTTTAACCAAAAGATCACTCCCCTCTTTGCCTCTTTGCCTCCTTTTCTTTTTCTTTACCTTAGTGTATAATTCACTCTTTATAAATTTCATTGGTTATAATTTACCCATCAATGCAAATTGCAATGGCCAATGCCAATGGAAATTAATATTGCTTGGCTTATTGTACGGACAATCCGTATTGATATTGGTGGGGCTCCTTTAGAATTTGGAAGGAACTTCTTCCATCACGTGAGAATTCACTCAAAAATCCAATAGGTCGCTTTTCTTTTTGGTTTTTATGACAAAGGGTAACGTGAATTGTGGATTTTGTCCTAGTAAAAATAGTCATATTTCAAAGTATATTTTACTATCCACTGTCCTCTCTCATTCTCTGGTTCTAGAGTTGTAGTAAAACTGTAACAGCCAAGTGACCCTCAAGTAAATAAGAGTTTTGCTACCACACCAGTGACCTACAGGCTACACTACTGGTTGATGTATAGTGAATTTCATATGCATTAATGGTGACCTACACTACTATTTGATGTATAGTGAATTTCATATGCATTAATGGTCGAGTATCACCTACACGCTAGTGAAGAACTAATTGTAATATATTAATAAATAAATAAACACAAAAATAGTAAGTAACTTTAAGTTAAAACTTCACAGTACATCAACGGTCAACTACGTGTCCGAGCTCGCAAAGAATAACGAGCGGTAGTACTTCAATAAATAAATACACACACACAAGCAGTAACTTTGACTGAAACCCAAGTAATAAAGGGTAAAACCAAATAATGCAAAATGAGAAAATATGAGTTTGGGTGACCGTTTGAGGCCTATATTTCCAGGTTGGTGTCTATTTAGTCTAAATTCCAGCTCAAAGCTCTAAAGAGAGAGAAAGAGAGAGAGAAAGAGGCAGGCAGGCAAATGGGTTGTTGCTGTTTTGTTGGTTCATTCATGCTCCTACAAAATTAAGCAAAGCAAAGGAAAAAACATAGTTTCGGAATATAAAGGAGGCATCGAGATCTGCGTTTACAGAAAACTCCTTTAGCTTCACGAACAAGCATCAAGTAGCAGCAGTGAGCTCCCTCTCTCTCCACTGAGTTGAACGTTAATCTCTGCGTTGCTGGCGAATCTTAGAACCCACCTTCTGCTTTTTACTCTTTTTAATCTTTTTCGCTGCGTGTTCGTGAAGAAATGCCGTTAAAGCTCGTTCAGCTATTAAGGCATTAAACACGCTCATTTACTCACTCTCACTCTCACTCTGCTCAAGTTCTGCTCAAGCTCAAAGCTTCCGCATTTCCAGCTGCCTTTGAGCTTCGGTTTCAGATCGACCGATGCTGCAGCTCCAATGGTCGGTCTTCTCTCCTCTCTCTTCATTGTTTCAGGTGCATTTCTTTTCTCTTAGCATTGTTAATTAACGTACATTTTTCTTTTTCAAATTTTGGGGAATTTAGTGGTTAATTTGCTATTATTCTGCTAAAGTTTGGGGTTTGGAATCGAGGACATTTAGAACCCAGTCTTTAGGTTTTCACATGTTTCTATTTTGTATATATGAAACATAGGACCGTTGGGAGCTTCGGCCAGAAGAGAGTTTCACAGATTTACTTGTTTCAGCTTGCAACTCTTTCTGTTTGGTTGCTGATAAAATTTAGGGAAAATTTAGGACTTCCAGAATGATTTGAACATGGAAGATTCTCAAATAAGCCTTACATTTCTAATTTCGTGTATTTCACTCTGTTTTTCTGCTAATTTCTGGATCCTGATTCATTCATTAATATAGGCTGAAGTAATGACTTTGATGAATTTTTGCGGTATGCGTTGTGAATCTGAATGGGCAAGCTTAACTACAAGTATCTTTTTCCTTTTTTGATTAAATGTTCTGTCAAATTTGTGCCAGACTGGAAAAAAAAAAGAGATTAAGAAGCCGAATTTTCATTAGTCTAAAAATCCAAGTATTTATGTCAATTACCTTATGAACTAGGCTTGACTTGCTCTTTGGACCATCAAAATTGGCGTTTGTCTTTTAATTCTTTAAATGAAAGCTCTAGCAGTGTTTTGTTTGTCTGTGTGTTTCTGCATATGAAACTTTTTGTCTCATTATTATGGCATTAGTTTAATTAGACCTTTGCACGGTTTCTTTTGTATGTCCTGGCTCACTATGTGTTTCATTTATTTACTTCACATAAAGAACTAGTGATCGAACTCCTACATGCCATTAACGAAAAATTATAAAAGCTGAAAAGGGATTCTTTCAGCATTTTGTATGTTATGCTTTAAGGCTTTTTGCTTTCTCTTTAGCGAAAAAGAATTTTGCTTTTGCTTTTCTTTTCTTTTTTACTATTCTTTTGTTATATTTCTTTCTGATAACTTTGTATTTCTTGATGCTTTGCAAGTCTTGAACTTACACATTTTGCACAAATATTCGAAGGCATGGTAGGGCAAAAATGTGGCCTTCCCAATGTCAACTTTGTATAAACAAATTGTGCCTTTTCCATGTCCTATATGCTCCTACTGATAAGAAGGAAGATGTGAAAATTGATTCCTGGATTTTTTTAAATTTTTTTTTTTTTATAAAGAGAATACTCTCCATTTTCCCTACACGTTCAGCCCCAACTTTTCACCAGTTTTAGGCTGTAGAAACTAGAAATGGTTAAGTGCCTATTCTGAAACCTTTGTTGTTTTTGCAGGGGAAGAAGAAAGATTGCTGAGATCACTCTCATAGTCTTGACTCCTTAACGGATTTCTCAACAAACAATACTAGATGAAGCCACATTTATTTTGTACAACAGTAATTCTTCTCCTTTCCCTTTGCCGAACTATAGCTGACCTCAATTCAGACAAACAAGCCCTTCTTGGCTTTATTTCTGTTGTTCCTCATGGTCGAAAAGTTAACTGGGATCCTGCTAACGCAGTCTGCAGTTCTTGGGTTGGCATCACTTGTACTTTGGATGGCACCCGTGTGCTTGCTGTCAGGCTCCCAGGTGTTGGACTGTATGGTCCAATTCCAGCAAAGACTCTTGGCAAGCTGGATGCCCTCATGGTCCTTAGCCTTCGGTCTAACCTCCTCAGTGGGAATCTTCCCTCTGATATTTTCTCCCTTCCTTCCTTACACTACATGTACCTTCAAAACAATAATTTTACAGGTAATATTCCCTCTTCTCTGTCTCCCAATCTCACCTTGCTTGATTTGTCTTTCAACTCCTTCACTGGCAACATTCCAGCCACAATCCAAAATTTAACACGTCTCACTGGACTGAACCTCCAGAACAATTCCCTCACTGGATCTATTCCTGATATCAACATTCCAAGGCTTGTGCATTTGAATTTGAGCTACAACCACCTTAATGGTTCAATTCCTCCTACCCTCCAAAAATTCCCTACTTCTTCCTTTGAAGGAAACTTGATGTTATGTGGACCACCACTGAACCACTGTTCTTTGATCACTCCCTCACCTTCACCATCCCCCAATCTTCCACCAACAGGGCCAATAGTCCCCTTGAAACCAGAAAATGGATCAAAGAGGAAACTTAGTATGTGGGCTATCATTGCCATTGCAATTGGTGGTTTTGCAGTGTTGTTTCTCTCAGTTCTGGTGTTAGTGCTGTGCTGTTTGAAGAAAAAAGACGGTGAAGGCAGTGCTGTAGTGAAAACAAAAGGCGGAAGGATTGATCAGCCAAAGGAGGACTTTGGAAGTGGGGTGCAAGAGGCTGAGAAGAATAAGCTGGTTTTCTTCGAAGGCTGTTCTTACAATTTTGATCTTGAGGATTTACTAAGAGCTTCGGCTGAAGTTCTAGGAAAGGGAAGTTATGGGACTACTTATAAGGCCATCTTGGAGGAGGGAACCACTGTGGTTGTGAAAAGGATGAAAGAAGTGGTGGTGGGAAAAAGGGAGTTCGAACAGCAAATGGAGAATGCGGGGAGGATTAGTCAGCACTCAAATGTTGTTCCTCTTCGTGCTTATTACTACTCCAAAGAAGAGAAACTCCTGGTTTATGACTACATTTCAGCTGGCAGCTTCTCAGCATTATTGCATGGTATTGCTTATTTTCATCTTGTTCTTTCTCATTCTAGTGCACTTCTATAATCTCCTCATTGCCATTAGTAACAAAGTATATTGTAAAGTTTTTGCATTTAGACTAGGGAGTTTACTTCTTTTAATTGACGAAGTATTCCTCAATGGTGCTCAACATTGTAATAAGAATACATCACAGACTAAACATATGAATTTTCCCCTCAGAACTGATTTCTCTCCCTTTGTGTCCTATTCTACAGGAAATAGGGAAACTGGACAGAATCCACCAGACTGGGAAACTAGGTTAAAGATTTCCCTTGGATGTGCTAAGGGGCTTGCCCATATCCACTCTGCCAGTGGAGGGAAATTCATCCATGGCAACATCAAGTCCTCCAATGTCCTCCTCACGCAGGACCTCAATGGCAGTATCTCAGATTTTGGCCTAGCTCCTCTCATGAACTTCGCAACTATACCTTCCAGAAGTGTGGGCTACCGAGCTCCCGAGGTGATTGAAACTAAGAAGTCCTTTCAAAAATCCGATATCTATAGTTTTGGTGTTCTGCTCCTTGAGATGCTGACAGGCAAAGCACCAGTACAATCACCAGGCCGAGATGATGTTGTTGATCTTCCAAGGTGGGTTCAATCTGTTGTTCGAGAGGAGTGGACAGCTGAGGTGTTTGATGTAGAGCTAATGAGGTATCAAAATATTGAAGAAGAGCTGGTACAAATGCTTCAAATAGCAATGGCGTGCGTGGCAAGGGTGCCGGACATGAGACCTACTATGGAAGAAGTGGTTAGGATGATCGAGGAAATCCGACCACCGGATTCTGATAACCGACCATCATCCGAGGACAACAGGTCTAAGGACTCAAATGGTCAGACCCCATGAGGGCATGGCCTCACCCCTGTCAATATTATTAAACCTCTGCCGTATATTCGCAATTGTGTGATTCTTTGTCGGGTCCTAGTCCTACTGTAAAAGCTTAGCCCCCTCTCCCCCTCCGATTAGTATAACAAAGAAGTTTCCAAACAGTTATGGCTCCAATGGATTGAGTGATCTCGTCAGCATTTTTGGATGCTAAAGAATGCTTTGATCCTTTAGCGCTCGCATGATGTAATTTTTTAAAACACGATTGCATGTACTGAAAATTGTTCGAGTGATGTTTCTGATTGTTTTGCTTGTCCGTATTCAACCCATTAAGCCCTAGTCTGGATTATAAATAAATAAATAAATAATCCATTAAACCTTAGTCCATACTAATCATCTGCCACATGGGTCATCGAATTTCAACTTTCATTATAAGACAAAAAAACCCATTAAACCCTAATAATTCATACTAATTATATGCCACGTAGATCAAAGATCAACCTTGTCCAAAGCTCCCACTTTGGGAGGAATGAGAAGTTGCAACTAAACAAATGAAAATCCCCAAAATGGCATATGAGAATTCGATTGCCAAAAACCTAGAAACCTGCTCAGAAAAACATTCGTAAAGAGGGAGCCAAGAAGTGAAATCACACAGCTCACAGGTTTTTCTTCAACAGAACTTACATTTTTCTGATACTTTAACAATGTAAATGGCCAAGATAACGGCCTGCCTTTGATCTATAAAAGAATAGTAACTCTTACTTCAACAAAAATCTTGGTAAGTTATGCCCGTGCTCATGTCAATGTATGTAGAAAGCTAATGACTAGAGTTAGTAGGAGCTTGGTTAACCAAATCAGCACCGCTCACATATCTAGCGACAAATGACATTAACCGGAAAGGCGCACCAATAAGGGGAGCATCTATAAGCGGCACAGCAGCATTTTTATCGGTCTCAACTGACAACTCTAGATTCCGGACTTCATTCTCATCCAACGGAATTTGCACTATTTCACTAATTTCATCGGATATTGGCAATTCTGGAACAAAAGCAACATGCTGAGAATCCACGCTACCATTACTATGCATCTCCTGTTTGATTGGAGCAACTTCTGGGGAATCAAGCTTCTGGTCTGATGTAGACATATCCTCATTGGATCTGGACATGGGATCGATGACACTGGCAGTTTCAGGAGGGGCAATTGTTATATTAGATGTTTTTGTTGAAGTGAGCTCAACTGTTGCACTCCGCCGGTCAAGTTCAACATGCAACTCATTCACCTAGAAAACATCATAGGGAATAAAAGAAATATCAGAGAACTAGTCAGTCCATCAAAATCTTAGTATTAGTAACAGGTCAAACCTAATTACACAAGTCTAAATATATAATAAGACTGTATGAAAGATATGCTTCAAGACATTGGCATTTATTGATAGTAGTACACATTACTCCTTAGAAACCATGGAGGAAAGCAGCCATTCACCTTTTCAACAAGCTCTACATTTTCTGCCATTAGTTTCTCAACCAGTGCACATGTTGCTTCAACCTGAGAGTTCAAATCCTCACGTTCCAAAGCATGCTACATTAACAGAGAGTCAGATATTTATTTCTTCCATTGACAAGTAATGTGTCATAGAATCAACAACGGAAAAGAGACCTTTGTCAGATTTACAAAATTGAAAACTTTTTAAATTTTCTCCTGCAAAAACTGATAGGTCTCGCTCATAGCATTTAAATAAAATTTCCAAACGCCATCGTAAGAATTTTTTTTTTGGGAACAGAAAACAGCCAGCACAAACCTATTAGTCCTAATCATGCATAAAGCTGCCGATAAAATTTGATCAGGTAAGCAAATAGGAAGCCTACCTTTGCAAGTTCGTCTGATGAAGGAGTAGAGGAGACACTCTCAAGATTCTTAATTTGCAACTGCAGACTAGAGGAGTTTTCCATCAGCTGTTGATTTTCTTGGACAACATTATCCCTGGATTGCTCCAATTCCAACACCTGCCCAGCTTTGGTTTTAATTTCCATATCAGAAGAAAATACAAAGATTTTCTTTGAACTGTTTGTGACCAGAAATTAGGATGTGCATGCAATAAGGAAAACAGTCCGACTCAATTCCTACCAATCTTATAGAATCTAAGGTAAGAAAAAGCAATAGTCAAACTCCTCTTTACTCAACAAATTAGGTTTGCCATGTAGAGACCTTGTAAATCAACTAATCAATTTAAATTGAATCCATCAAGTAGGTTACTTAAGTCAATCGAGCTGCATACCTGTGCTCGTAACTTAGCAACATCATCATTCAGAATTGCTACCATTTCTTTAAACGAATCCTGTAAGAAACACATGTTTAAAGACAAATAAGTCTCTGACATAAAATAATGAAGGGCAAATATACATTTGGATTATAAAGTGTACGAGAGAGCTTTCTGAAATCCCACTTAAGAAAGATTCAGTAACGAAAGAGTGTTACAGTTGATGGACTGCTAGTGTTTTTTTTTTTCAAATTATTTGTTTCCTATTACAGACATAACAACTAAATTCTAACTCTTTTCCAGGTGCAATAACAACGAATTTAGTGTAAAAGTTTTAAGCTCATTAAGCGGCCAAATGATTTTTCATCTGCAATTACGAATCAGAGTAATTAGAATAGCGATTACCTCCTTTAGAATCCAGGTATCTCTATCTCTCTCTAGATGTTTAATCTTTTCCTGTAAGCTTGACTGTGAAACAATGTACAGTAAGTTCAAAAGTTGCACCAAAGAAAAAAAGAAAGAAGAAGAAGTGAGGCCAAAATGATTATTAGTTGTAGGATTCTGATAAAGGGAGGGGACGCTAACCTCTTTTGAATCCAAAGTAGCCTTTTCATCTACTAATCGACCAATTTTCTCCTCTAATCCAACCTACAACAAACACAGCATTAGAAACCAATTCCTCTTGTTTGCAGTTTTGTTTAATATAATGTTGCACAAAAAACTAAAGAGAGCATGATTATATGCATGCTGGTAAAGAAAAAACTTAAAGGACCCCTTGAATTGAAATATGAACAAAATTCAAAATAGCCCTATGATGCAACTTAAATCACCTCTTTTCGAAGCCAAGAATCTTTTTCACTCTGTAATTTTACAATTTCCTTCTGTTGGTCGGCCTGTAAATCATCTGGTTAAGGAGACAATCCTAAAAACATATGCAGAACAAGGATACAATTGTAATATGAAATGTGATAGAACACAATCCTAACTAGAAGTGCACTAACTCTTAGTCAGCTCATTGTCTCAGCTAAATTCAGATAATATTACCTCTTTCTGTATATGTGAATCATTTTCATGCCGCAATTGTTTTATGGAATCTTCTAAGGTAGCCTGAAGAAGAAATATACAAAATCAATAGGAAAGGTAGAAAAAGCATACCAGATAAGAAAAAAGGTCATTGGCTCTTTCTAAGTACAACTTCATAAATCCAGATCAAGATATAGTACCTCTTTCTGTATATGTGAATCATTTTCATTTCGTAACCGTTTAATAGTATCCTCTAAGGTAGCCTGAAAAAAATTAAATGGCATAAAAAAAATTGAAACCCAGCCAAATACGATAAACATGCCCTAATCTTTGTTCCACTATTCTCACAGTTGAAATTCACATTATATTACCTCTTTCTGTATGTGCAAGCCCGTTTCCTTTTGTAATTGTTTGATTGTTTCTTCTAAGGTAGCCTGTAAAATTATGGTTATTTTGTGCACTGCTCAGTATGCATTTGCATATCAAAACTGACAACAAAAACAAAGGTGTGTGATACAATTGGAGAGAAATTATCTTGTGTGTTTGCCATATCCACGCTTACCTCTCTTTGGAGCCAATGTTGTTTCTCAGATTCAGCTAACGACTGCACAACAAAATTTCAAAAAAAAGAAAAGCATAAATTTCAAAATCCTTGAAAATCACCACAAAAATGCACACAACACAATGTACATCTCTTTTTACTATCAGCTGTTGATCGATCCAATTCAAATTCGAATGCTTAGAGATAAACATAAACAAATTAATACTAATTACAAAATTAATCAAAATCAAACTTACACATTCCGTGCCATTGCTCTCATGCCTATTCCCATTCGCATCTGCGTCTTGCATAGCATCTGAACGAACATCGGCGACGGCCTCTGGAACTTGGCCGTTACCGGTAACCGGGACATCGTCTAAACGACCGTCGTCGGCGGCGTCCTTCGAAACTTGGTCATTACCGGAAATCGGAACGTTGTCGGTGGTCTCAGCCTGCTTGTTCTTCTTCTTCTTGTTCTTCTTTTTCTTCTTCTTATCGTCCTCCATTTTCAGGCTCACAAATGGCTCAGCCTCTTGCTCTGCCGCCACAGAATGAAATCCAGACCGCACGGGCAGACCCGAGTCCGGATCTGATTTCTTGCTGTTGGCGTTTTCCTCCACTGAGAATTTATCAATTGAATTTCGTTTGTGGGATTTGCCGGGAAGGGTTTTCTCCTTTCGTTTCTAATTTATAGTGCGTTTTTCGCGTTTTTATTTATTTTCCATCACTGTAATAACTCATGGATACGAGTCTATTTGGATGTTGATGCAGCGGGAAGCAGCAGATTATTGACGTGGTGACTTGGCCGTATATGATTGGTTGATTGATCATCCTGGAATGTGGTCGGTCGTACCGTAGCTTCTAACTTTCTCGTTAAAGGCAGTGACGGAAGGAAGTCAGTGAGTTACGGACTTACGGCGTTACCATTTGCAGGAAACGGACGCTACCGCAACTTCAAGTTGACTTGGGACCACCAACGCACAACGCATGTGGGAGCCACGTGACTAGCGACCCGGCCCCGTCGAGAAGGCAAATGCTATCAAATCAAAACGCACATTCCTCTTCCATTTTCGATTGGAATATTGGATTTGATTTGAGGAGAAATTACCATCTCTTTTTTGCTCTTTTTATAAGCAACCCGGCTGTCCACTTTGAATTTGGACCAAACTAATTCAATTAACATATCCTTAATTAATGTGACTTAAACAAAATATAGATGATTATGATGTGTGGCAAAACAAGAGGATTAGAATAATAGGGGGTTATAAAAAGCAATGTTTAGACTTGGTTTGACAAAATATTAACCTAATCAAAATAGTGTTCACTTGTAATTAAAATTAGTT